GTAAGAACTTGTAGATATACGTAACTCAACGTGCTCTATAATCTGGCCGTATCAGAATTGTTTCATTTCAAAATTGGTCTTGGGTGTCTAGGGACCTGTGTTCCAGAGATCCATCTAAGAAAGTAATGGTGCCAGAAACGGATATCTGATTCGTGATCGGCATCAGAAAATTATCCATAATGAGGTATATTTTGTTGAAATCCAAATGTCACACCTGGGGATGTTCCCTCGTTAGAACAATTTGATAAACTTTTTCTGTTTGATAGCTAAAACATAAATACACAAAGCAATAGATCAGTTTTTAAAGTTAGCTTTCAGTATTAAGAAAAATGCATTTTCCTACGAAGAAAATAGGTACTTCTTTGAACTTTTAACTTAAAATGTATGCCAAAAATTAACAGATACGAAATTTAGCAAAAGTATTCATCACTTTTTAGATTTACATGTCTGGTTTTTGATACAAAAGAAACCCAAAGTCCGTAGCTACCCACCCAACCTGAGAAAAATAAACGTTACTCTTTCTTACTTCTGTTGCGATATCGATTACCTCATATAGATTGACATCGTTTTAAGGTATTCGTTTGTACTTTTATCGGTATGGCAGTCATCAAAATTTCTGCATTGAAACCATGTGACTGTTGGTTCAGATGTGTGAGAGTATATTACGAAGCAGAGTTCAGTAAGTTTAAGTCTCACCTCAAAGGACTTGATTTGACTTGAGACTCAAATTATTTTTGCTCAGTTAGTCTTGAAGAAGGTTTTTTGTAACAAGTTTTCTACTGTAATACCATAATCTTCCTGATGAAATTGACACAAGTGTCTTGTCAAACTTCCAATCTTTCAAAACAAAAAAGCTTATAGCTGTCCAAAATGTTTATGACGCATTTCATTAGTTCTAAACATCATATTTATAAGCTCAGTGGTTAGAACTTCTGACCTGTAACCAGAGAATCCCGATTTGATTCCCGATCGAGGTGCACATTTTTTCTTTTCACGTGTTTGTCTATCAGATTATCTCTCCTTGTCAGCCGTGTTAAAACTCAATTTCTAGACAAAAACTGATTAGGGTACTCTTTTTCTATCAAAAACAAGCAATGTTATACTTAACCGTTATGCTTAATCGTGTTAACCGAAAAAAGAAACTATTAACTAATCTAGAATTCTGCTAATTACTTCTGGACAAAAAACTTTTGGTGATAGACATGATTCTCTTTTTCCAAGAATATGGGCATGAATCAGATCTTTTCGTTCTGCAGACTGACATTAAAAATTTTCACGAAGATTAAGAAGACAAAAAGAAACAAACAAGTAATATACGGTTTTTCATTCATGTATCTGAATCATATGGTTGGTTTATTTCCATAGTATTGTTCTCGTGTAAAAAATTTGTTAATTTTTAATACTAATCTCGTCAGCGGTAGACAACTGCCGACATTACCATAGGAATCCATGGGCATCGGCGCGGTTTATGGGTACGAAAACATCGTGGACGCAGATCTCTAAACAAAGCAATAACTTTTTTAAAAGTATCTCTTCGGCCTCAAAGTGCTACGGGTGACGTCTTTATCAAGCCGCTCACGATTTACATTGTCCACTAAGGGATAATGATCAGGGAGAATAGGAGGCACACTTCTTCCCAAAGTATTTTACAATTTTCTGCTAAAGTTATTGGATTTTTTCACTAGTCATTTTCTGCAATTTACAAATTGTTTTCCTGTCACTTACTTCCTGTAGAAAAGAATTTGCCTTTTTTCAGATCGACGTGAAAAACAAATATAATCATGAACATGTCCTAATACTCTATATGAAATTAACAATCTTCTAATTTGCTGATATCTTTTAGCAAGCCACCATCTATCGTAGAGACAGATTCTAACGAGAGAATCAAATGATGTATTTCTAGGAAAATGGTCTTCTGTGAGTGAAACTACAAAAAGTACAGAAAGAATCTCTTTTATCACTTACATTATGTACTTAACGTGTTTGTCATACTGAGGAATTCTTCTACTCACACAACCAGAAAAGTTTAAAGCTATCAGAAAAGACATACTTTATACTGAACTTAGCAAATATCGAGTTTGCGCAAAATTTTGAAATTAATATAATATCTGAAAGTAAATAAGGATGAAGCCCCAGGCCAAACAGAGCGGGCTGTTAACGTCGTGTAAACTTCCTATTAACGGTCATCACAAAAACGGCCAAAAAACGGTCCGTTCTAAAAACGGCGTAAAAACGGCCCGTTTACTAGCTTATAATTGAATCACCGTAGTATTCTGTCATTGAGCCACTATATAAAGAACAGCAAAATTCAATGATAAACTGATAAACAAGATACAAATTTTTCTTGTTTTCTTTGAAAGAAGAACACAAGACAAGAACTAAGAGACTATAGTTTAGCCTCAAAATGAATCAGTCCTTCCGGAAATGAAGAAAGTTTTTCAATAAAAATTTGAAATTCTTAGAAAGTCAATTCTAAGCTATGCTGATTCAGTAAAAATGGTCTAAAAACAGCGTATAAACGGCCTGTTAACGTAAACTTAACGGTCCGTTAACACACCGTTAACTACGCTGTGTTGATCGGCCTGGGCATCATGGATAGAGGGCACTTTACCTACATCTCCTAAAACCTTCATTTCCAACACTTGTTTACGGAAGAAGTGCGTTTCCATTACTGACTATCACGGTGGAGCTCAATCACACACTCAAAATGCCTGTGTCGGGCTTACGAACATAGCTTCTAGTATGTGACAAATGCGTTTCATTCTTTAAAGTGGCAAGATTAGTCAGTCGTTCAAAGAAAATACCCACTCATTTTATCGTCGACTAATTTTTTTCCAAATATTGGACTTTAACTTAGTTTGAATCAGTTGTTCTTGGTATTTTATAGTCATCAAAGTGTTTTCTAATTTCTCGTTTCCGTCAACATTCCATTCTATCTTCTGTCTGTATAGTAAGGCTATTTCTTTGTAGTTGTCACCACCCTTCTCTAAATAGTTAATTGCTAAATCATCATGCTTTTTAGCAAGATGGTGATCTTTAAAAATGCCACGATTAATGCTCCCCATGTTTCTGTGAATGTGACCGATATCATTTGAACAATTCAGTTCGCCAGCATATATGTATTTAAGCCAAGTTTGTAGAGCTTCCTCATAAATAGACAGAGCTGTTTCATAATTTTCATTCGTTGCTAGACATGGATATTTACAGGCTAATATCCAGTCTTTTTCAGATGGATATAGCTCAATTAACTTGCCAAAGATGATGTGTAAGGCTTCAGGTGTTAACTTGGAGGCAGTTGTCCACGAAAATTGACTGATCGAGTTTTTTAAAATTCTTCTCCTGCTGCAGTTTTTGTCATCAGCCCAAATGCTGTCAGAACTGGTATTCAAACTGCATCTAATAATCCAAATCTTTTCATTCGCATCATACGATGCATCACCATATCTCATATCAGATTGTGCTCCGATCATAAATAAAATTTTAGCTTCATCTGGAAAGTAACTAACATGTGAAACATTTCCATAAGGACGAGAGTGTAGATGTACATCAACGTCGATTTCAAATAAAATCAATTCTAATCCTTTCGAATGTATTGAATATTTAAGAAAATCTAATGCTACCGAACGATCGAGTGATGTTGATAATAAACAATTATTCACGTTGTAGTTAAGTGCACCTAACTTTTTGAGTGCGTCAATTTCAGTCGGTGATATTACTTGTCCACAATATAATTTTATTTTTGGGTTTTCTGCATGTTTTAATTGCAGTTGTTCATGTTCTTCTTTCAGTTGACGGCGGATATCTTGTGAGAAGAAGCCAAATACAAACATCAGTTCAATATTATGCTGTCGTAGAGCTTTGTTTAGAAGACGATAAAGAAATGTTGCACGGGTATACCACTAGATTGCTTGTTTCGGTTCATAACTTGCTTCAAACTCTTTTAGAACTCTGGTTTTGTCTTCTTTATCGTTGTAATACAATTTTATGTAGCAGTGAGTCCATATCGGTAATCATCAGGGTATGATAAACTGCAAAGGAGATCAATGTAATTGGGCCACCAAGAAAAGAAACGATCTGTTGTCTGATCTTCTTTAGCTGCATCGTTTAAGATAGCACCGGCTTTCTCGAGTTTTAAATATTCTTCAACGTCTTGTGTCAGATCTCTTAATAATTCATCAAGTTCCGTGCGCACTCTTTTTCTGATCTATTTGACAATTAATTGGAAGAAAAAAGCCATAAAGTAGGGGATTAGATGAGAGTCGTCAAATACATCGCATCAGTACATACCTTTGAGTAATTTGAGGTCCATTGTTGGTGATAGTCTTTATCTCGACAATAAACATAAATCTTGTAAATACTTTTAATATCATGAATTTCTGGAACAAAAGTTTCACCGAATTGTCTAGATGTAACTAAAAATGTAACGTCGTTCTTTGTTTGTTCAAGATAAGCGTTACATTCTTCCACATTATCAAACAGTTTCGTAATTATTTTGCGTAAACTTCCCAAGGTAATTGTTGTGTCACTGTACTCCACATTGTTAACGTTAGCGTCTAACCAGACCAGCTGATGTGATCAAGATTTACTTTGTCACGATTAAAGACTACGGTTGAAAGTGTAACTGCTGTAGTAACGGTTGGTCTTGATGCTAATGCAGGCAAGATAGATGAGGTACTTCTACTGCTATGAAATGGTGTCGTTAGAGTTATGTCTTGCGTCATTCCGAAAATTGACTACTGCTCTGCAATCTATGACTCAGGCTTTGTTACTCATACTGAGCCCTTAGAAATTGTTCAGCGTTTAGCAGCCAGAATTATTGCAAGAGTTCTTCTAATCTTATCAGTCTTTCTACCACCAGAGCATCTGATCGTAATAGGCTCCACTCTCGCTGCGTCATGGTTCCCTTCTCTGAATTTGAAACAGTGAAATCATCTTTCTTTTGTCCAGTTGACTGGAATAGGATACTAACTGAGCCGCTTGTCAGTGCATCTAATCTGCGTATCTTTAAAGTTGGTTTGCGTAGTCTATTACAATGTTAGCATTTAGTGTCATCTCAACGTTCAAATTTTAAGTTGTGTTTTCCTTTTTCTTTTTCTGTTTTTTTTTTCCTTCTTTTATTTTTAGTATGTTATATGGGTGCGCGGCAGAATATGTTCTTCTAGTCATTTCTGTATTAGCTGTGTTTAAAAAACTTGTGCTACTGTGTACTCATGACTGTTTGTCAAATAAAACCTAACCTAACCTTGATTTGGTCACCATTATCGTCCATTTTTTTAAATTCGAAGCTCAGTTACAAACTGTGAAAACTTGAATATGGATGTATGATACAGAATTTATGTCTATAATAAGCACGTTTTTCTATTTCTTCGTATATTTATTAGATCACCTGTTTCTCTACCTTATACGGGTGATTAATTTCTGTCGTTTTATTTGTTAGGCACATCTCTAGTGAATGTACTTGGAAGCGGGTACTTGTTTACTTGCAAATTTCTGCGGGTACTTGACAAGTACTTGACGTGCATTATAGGAACTTCGCAAGTATTTTCCAAAAATACTACTTGCGGAAATTTGCAGGTAAACAAATACTTGAGAAGTGTTTCCTGTACTTGGACAAGTACATGGCTTTTTAGAACAGCATCAAGTACTTGCAATATAATGGTGTGTGCTCGGCACCAGATTGGCGACTAATACCCATAGCTGAGGGTTAATACTCCCTAAAAAAGGATTACTACCCAACCTTTAGTTTTTCGTATTTTTGCAATAAACTTTTTATAATACGGCTTCGCAGGCTGTTGACGAAATAGAGGTAGCGTACGAAACTCCAAGAATAACTTCTTCCCGAAAAGATTCCGGGTTGCTTTCACTAAAACATCAAAGAGATTTAGCAGAAAATTTTTTTTTAATAACAATTTTTATTTGTTTCAGAGTGACCTATGCGTTCCTTTTTTCTCACTAGAAAGAAAAGAAGAATGTGATTTTTTTGGTTGATCGTTTTAATATATCTCTATCTATTTTTTTTGTCCATCTATGCACATTCAGCAGAATTGTTTCTTAGGCACTCGCTATGCTAAAATAAAAATAAAACAACAGAATAAACATTATTCTATCAACACACACACATTATTTGTTATGTACTTCCCAAGTACAGGGTTGGAAAAAATGTTTTTTCAGAGGATACAGCTCAAACTACAAATGATATAAAAGTAAGATTTATACCAAATTAATGCTCGTTTAAAAAATCACATCTCCGTTGCCTTGAGAAACATGGAAACAGATACTGAACTTTTTGAAAGTCTTTAATGTTCGTATCCGTCACGACTTCGTGCTATAAAAAGAAGTCAGTGGTCGTCATACTGATTATCAGTTATACTCATCGATCCCATGTGGTCCTCTCTATTGTTTTGCTTCTATCTTCGTTAATGCATGTCCCATTTTTTTAAAAAATACTAGAAATATACAGCAAACATATTATTAGATAGATTATATAGCGGTCTAATGACCTACTGTCGTTTTGGAGGGTCAGTTCAAGTGAAGCAGGCTAAATCAGTTTTTAGCTTTGAAATCAATCTTGAAATCAATCAATTTGAAAATAATCCCTAACAATTATCAATCAGTTACATGAGTTTTTCATTACTTTTGTAGATACTGGCTTTTTAGTGACAGTCATTATGCGAAATGTCAGCATGTAATATTTTATGCATCACGTTACATATCCTGTTTGAACAATTATCCTGGTTTTTGTTAGAATTATATCATATGTATTTGGTATTTAATTTTTTACATGTCTCTACTTTCTGCTGTACAATAATACATCAACTTCTATACTTTGGGAATTTTGGCTTGAAAAAGACTCATGTAAAGACTGCGGGAACTATCAGCGGTACAATTTACTTGAATGTAGTTTAGAAGTACAATGGCTACGCTGGTGAATGTACGTGATGAGCACTTGGGAGGTATTTGACAACTTAAGTACTTGGCAAATACTTGAGCAAGAACTTGTCAAGCGTTGTTACTTGACTTGCTTCAGCGAAGTACTTGGACAAATCAGCCAGGCTTTCCTTTTACGTTCATTACTGGTATATAAACTTAAATATTTCTACTGGGTTGAATAAACTTAATAGCTGTGCATGTATTTGCTCTACAAAAGTAGAGTATAGCTCCTTAAGATGTGTAAAATACAAAATAAAAATAAAATGGAGCAAGTATTTGACTGAACTTTTTCAAGTAAACTTACTTGGGGAAGTCCATAAGTACTGTCCTCATTACTTAACCCAAGTACTTGGCTCAATTATATTCACTAGGGTACGCAATTAACTCATGTACTATTTTAATTCTAAATTCAGAAACAGAGAAAGAAGTTATTATTCTCTACAGTACTTATTTTCAGATTATGGCAAAAGAGAAACTCACCTATTAAGGTCACTCATATACTAGAAATTGGCCCCACCCATCAATGTTCATAAGATGTTGCCCTATTACAGATGAAAATGGAACATTTCATACTTTCGAAATTTCCGAAAGTACTTCATCAAGAACTATTTTTACGACTAAATGCGGAAACAAATATTTTCTTAATTTTTAATAAAAGTTTTTAATAGTAAAATTTTCGTGGAAGAAAACTTGTTGTTGCTGCATATCACACACCTAATGTTAAGTAGGCACTAAGATCTGGCATTTACCAACTATTTTGTTTTTATAATATTAGAGAAGAACACTTAATTATACAGTATATATTGTCGAACTACAACGCATATCTAAATAGCAGTAGAATATAAGAAGTATGTATTAATTTTAAGTTTAATCTGGAAATACATCTGCATCAAAGATAGTGTACAAAAATATTATTTGGGATCTCATACTAAGAAGTGATGCAATTCGGAATAACAGTTCTATTACACATCAACATTCATTACGATTTGGATAGCAAAAGCGTCTAACAGCTTGTTCCCAAAATCGAACAGCGGCGGACAAATAGGGATGGAACAATTCAGGTTTTATGCAGTTCTTTTAAGGAGCCTTCCTCAAGAATTCGATTTTTCTTCGAAATCTTCGAAACTGAAGTAAGCATATGGTTGAGTATCCCAAACTGTCCTCTTTCAGAATCCATCTCAATTTGCCAAATATTCAATGTTTTTGGAGGTTACGATTAATGAAGTGATGACGTCATTGCTCCGAATATGATTTTGGCGCAGCAAAGTTGTGTCTCCTAGATAATTCATCGTAAAACCTTCATTTTTCTTTTATTGTGAAGCTAAGATATTTATCTAAATTTTGACCGTAACGATTTGTAAAGGATACCGCGGGTTTATTTGTTTTCCTCCCTTCACCATCATATCATATGTGTAGACAGTACTCATCAAGGCCCATCCAACAATACGTGTTTCGAGTCGAGGAAATAATTATATCAATAGTTATTTCAAAGATAAAAATTTTCGGAATTTTTGGTACTTAGGGAGGCTTCTAGCTTTCTGTTCTATCTGCATAAGAATGTTTCATATATCGGTCAATTCAGCCGGTCCAAACACTTCAATTCCGTCTTTGTTAAGAGTAAGGGGTTTCGATTTCAACGGGATCTATTTTAAAGAAACGATTGAAGCTAGCTGTTCATTTAAGTATCTCTACTTGCATCGTGTTTATTTATCGAACGCATCATTTATTGAATGCTACATTGACAGTTCGAATTTTTCTACTTCGACAATGTACAAGGCAGTTTTCTTCCAAGCACGTCTATTGCGGACATCTTTCAAATTCGCTTTGTTAAATCAAACGAATTTCAGCAGAGCAACATTTTTTGAAATGAATTTCATTGGAGCATCGTTGGTCGGGTGCTATTTTACCAGATAGAGTGATGTTCAAAGAAAAAACAACTTCGTCACATTCCACTAATCATTGTCTATAAATAGAATGTGTATTTTCTATAAGATCCTTGTGGACTTTAATTGCGTAAATCAGCAGATTTTGAGCTACACGGTTCCTAATACTCATTATGGTTTGAGATCTAACAACACTAATCGGCTTTATGATTTCACAGATAAAAGAAACTTCTTTAATAATTCATTTTTCCCGACTGCCGTTTCTCTCGACTGTATAGCCTTGCGTTAGGATGCAGCCTACGAAGTTTCGGGGAAAACTAAGAATTTATCTGTTTGATCTTAGGGAGCAGAAAAATAGAAGCAATTTATAGTAGACTAAGAATATATTTCTCAGCGTTGCGGTAACATTTAAAGATACATAAACTTGTGGATGATAACATCTGCCAGCAATGTTCTTCTGGAAGGGTTGAAGATTCAAAGCACTTTTTTTTTGTTTCAGTGTGCAGCATATGATCAGGTTAGATTGACCCTTGTCACTACTTTGAAGAAAGTAGACGCTAAAATTGACTTAAACGTGCTTTTATTACGATCAAACTTTGAAGATAAAAGTAAATTTAAACTTGTCTATGATGCAGTGTGTAGTGTAACTACACTGCAAACACAGAAAGATTCGGTTAGACTGTGTACACCCATTCTTTCTTATTAAACTATCCGGGTGATGCTGTCTTATATATTTTTTTGCAGCTGCCATTGTCTGTTGTGAAAACAAAAAATCATTCACGCACAGAATTCTATCTCTATTCGATGTTGTCTGGTGCAAAATTTCCTCATTTATAGGGTTGCCTTTGTCTTTGTTACTTTTTCCCGTGCAAAGATGGTATATTGAGTTTTATAATGCAATCCCGGAT